TCACCTGCCAAGGTCAAAGCCATGTGTTTTGGAGGACATGAGAATAAAAACTATTTTCTGTGCTCCAGGGCAACACTGTCTGCTTCTCCTCGTGTCCTCAGCCAGGCTGTCACACTGGCAATAGAGAAGAATCACTAAATTACCAGTGCTAATCACCTGTGTGTCCACCACATCCCTTCCAGCCTGGCCCTGGCCCTGTGCTGTTGCATTCCAGCCTTTGCTCAGCACAAAGAAGGGCTGGACAATTGGGGAAGCTGCCCTGGGCGTTCACTTGGGCTGCTCAGTCTTGCTTTAGTCCTCAAAAAATTAGATGGTTATTTAACCAGCTTCATTAACCTTCGAGGGAAGGTGTATTCTATTAATAATTTGCTAGAAAACTAACACTCCCTGTGTTTTATTATTACAGCTGTCTCAGTGCCCGGGACACAGACAATAACAGATTGACTAGATCCCAGCAGGATGGTGAGTGAGTGTGTTTGCTGTGCCAGGCTGTGCCAAGCCTTTGCTTTGACTTGATAAACGTGGGGAGTGGAGCTCAGATAAGGACACAACAGGAAGAACACTGTTACTGTCTGTCCCTTCAAGGGGGTGAATTTACCATTTCTTTCTGCTTCCTCGTTGTAGAGGAGAATGACCCACACATACAGGCTTTTGCCTTTGGGGAGTTAATGGAAAACCAGATCAGATATTCAAATAATTCAAAGAACATTAATTTCTCCAAATAAACTTCCTAGGCATATTATTCTTTCCAGATTGAGCCTACAAGGCAGCCATTTCTATGGGTGTTATTACAGAATCTTGGAATGGTTTGGGTTGGAAGGAACCTTAGACATCATCCAGTTCCATCTCCAGCATGGGCAGGAACACCTTCCACTGTCCCAGGCTGCTCCAAGCCCTGTCCAGCCAGGCCTGGAACACTTCCAGGGACAGAGGAACATTTTTCTGCCCATTGAATGTTAAGTGGTATTTTGCTGATGATTTTCTTGGGAACATGAAGAGCTTTGCAAGAGAAGTGTATTTCCCAAGAAATTGCACTAGAGCAGAGGCAGGAGAAACCTGTTTGTGAATACCATTTCGGGTAAAACACTGGGTTTCCTGGTGTGTTATTTAACAGAATTATGGTCCTTGACTGCTCTTAGAGAAATCAGGAATGGGGCTTGGATGGGAACAGCTTCTTCTATGATTTACTTGGAAAACTGCTGGGAAGAAGCTGTTTTCACAGCTGAACGGAGATGTCAGGCTGTGTGCCCTTATGTAACTGGAAAGCAGATACTCCATGGGCAGCCACATTAAGATATCTTCTCCTTTCACTTGAGTCCCTGTAGCTTATTTCTTATGTGGCTGGGAAGTCCTGGAATAAGCCATTTCATTTTTGGAATGGATGGAACCTGGTATGAAATCACTCATGTTTGGAGGGTGAACTTTACTGGCTATCACTTTCCAAAAGAGATGTTGGCATCTTTTTAATTGTTTGGTTTTTTTTTTTTATTCAACTCTGCACTGTGAATGTCTCACTTTGTGACTTTTCATAACTCCTCTCCTATGGGTTTAGGCAACAGTCAAGGGTGTCTCAGCTTTCAGTGCTGAGCAAGAAGCACAGGCACTAAGGAAGGCCATGAAGGGATTGGGTAAGTTATCTCCCTCTGCTGTTAAACCTTCTTTTTTAGTTCTGCCAGTTGGGAAGGTTTTTACTGGTGGGGGGTTTTGGAGGGGAAGTTCAGCCATTTGCTTCACCTCACTGCCTTCCCTTGGAGGGAATTGGGCAACTTGAACCCACTGGAAATCCAAGTCTTGGCCATAAAAACATCTTTAGTCAGGCTCTTGTTTTCTCTGTCCCGTGGTGTGGTGCTGCCGGGCTGAGGCACTCGTGCACAGATGAGACCCAGGTTGTGCAAGGATGTGTGTGAGGTTGTGTGGCCAATGGCACACCCTGGGCAAGGCCAGAGCAGGCCTCTGGTTCTGGTACAGGCAGCCTGACTGGTTTTCATTGGTTCCTTCAGGCACAGATGAAGATGCCATCATTGAGAGCTTGACCAAACTGAACGTTTCCCAGCGTCAGCAAGTTCTGATCACCTATAAAAGCACTATTGGCAGGGTAGGTGCTCTTCAGAGATCTGTGCATGTGGGCGTTTTTGGGTTGTACCACTCGGGTGAAATGTGAAGAACATCCCAGTCTCCACAAGAGCATGACTGGCACTGAGCACAAGCTTTCCTTGGCCAAGTCTTTTTGGTCTTGTTCACTTCACAGTAACTGTTCATCCAAGGAGGGCTGGAGCATGAAGAAATGTATTGAACGAGCTCTTCCTCTTCCCCAATGGCTGTGTCTTTTTCTCCTTTCTTCTCTTTCTGTCTTCTAGGATTTGATTGATGACTTGAAGTCTGAGCTGAGTGGGAATTTTGAAAGGGTGATCATTGGTTTGATGACTCCTACCACCATGTATGACGTGCATGAACTGAGGAGGGCTCTAAAGGTTTGGAAATCCTTTTTTCTGTTGCGTGACTTATGGTCAATTTAGTTACGCAACGGCATAATTGCATATTAAGTATTCATTTCTTATTTAGTTCTATCCAATAAACAAAAGTCATAGTTGCCACAGCCTTGTCTCTGTGCTTCCCTAGGGAGCAGGGACAGATGAAGGCTGCCTGATTGAAATCCTGGCTTCTCGCACCAACGAGGAGATTCGGCACATCAACCAGAACTACAAACTCCGTATGCAGCACCCTCTGCAATTTCTTACTGGCTCAGAAGCCACCTGTGTGTGTGCAGGGGTGTGTGGAGAGGCAGGAGAAGGGGCTGTCAGCATCAAGGACTAGAATTACACCCAGAAATTGAGTTGTTGGAAATGTAATGGGGTGGGATGGTTATGGCTGTCTGTCCATGGTGGATCTTTTGCCAGTTTTATACTGGCTGTGCTTGTTATTTTTGCCCTGCACCACTCAATATGATGGATGTGATGAAAGCCAAGAAGGGCAAGGGCATCCTGACTTGTCCTAGTCACAGTGTGGCCAGCAGGACATGCCTGTCCCCCTGTACTGCCCTGCTGAGGCAACTCAAATCCTGGGGATAGTTTAGGACAGATGTTAGAAAAAAGCTCTTTGCCCAGAGGGTGGCTGGGCACTGGAACAGACTCCCCAGAGCAGTGGTCACAGCACCAATCCTGATGGAGCTCAAGGAGTGTTTGGACAATGTTCTTGGGCACATGGTGGGACTCCTGGGCATGGTTCTAAGCAGGCCCAGGAGCTGGACTTGGTGATGCTTGTGGGTCCTTTCCCAGTCAGCAAATCCTGTGACTGTGCAAGCTGTTAGTAACAGATGTGTTCTGTGTGTGCTCTGGCAGAGTATGGCTCCACCCTGGAGGACGACATCGTCTCTGACACGTCCTCCATGTTCCGCAGGGTCCTCGTGTCCCTCTCCACGGTGAGTCCAGGACAGGGCAAATAACGGGGTGGGGGACATCTGCTGGACATCTCTGTCTCAGAGATGAGGTGCTTCAGGCTGGCTGCTAGTTCACTTCTCTTGCATTTCACCTTGCCAGCACTTCACCCCAGCTTCTGTGGGGAGAGCAGCCTCACTCTGCCATGCCTTAATGCCATATGATCTTTTTAATAAAGTGGATGTCTGCTTGTTTCAAAAGAAAGAACAAATCACATCCATTACTCAATGTTAAGAACCCCATTATACATCTCCAGCGACTGGTTTTGAATGGGGAATTTGCAGGACTTACTTCCATTAGTTGCTCTGTTGAAATGAGTTTTTCATCCTTGTATTACTGCAGGGTAACAGAGATGAGGGAACATTTGTGGATGAAGCCCTTGCTCAACAAGATGCTCAGGTGTGTAGCAATTATCTTCCTGGCAAGAACTGTCTGGGTTTGTGTGTGTGATGTGTGGTGAATCCCTGCTGTTTATAGACCTCTTGTCCTCAAGTAAACTTGAAGTTGTGCTAATCTGCAGTTCCCCAGGTGGAGAATGGATATTAGGAAGTATTTTCCCCCCAAAAGAGTTGTCCAGCTCTGGCACAGGCTGTCCAGGGCAGGGGTGGAGTCCCCATCCCTGAGGGGATTCAACAGCCACATGAATGTGGCACTTGGGGACGTGAGTTAGTGGTGAAGTGAATAACCTTAGAGGGCTTTCCCAACCCAAATGTTCTATGGAGCAAAGATCTCATGATATACACCTGGTGTTCTCAGTTATCCCCACTTTGTTGATGATTTCCAGTGCCTGTATGAAGCTGGGGAGAAGAGATGGGGCACAGACGAGGTGCAGTTCATGTCCATCCTCTGCACACGGAACAGGTGCCACCTGCTCAGAGGTAGGACCTCTCTGGTGTCCTGGGCTTTTTCCCTTGTTTGAGGACTGTACCTCTGTAGGAGCTTTGTGCTTGTTCATTAACTGGTTGTGATCCCTTCCTGAGACAGCAGACATTCTCAGGGCCAGTAGATTCAAAATGGGAGTTGAGTAAAACACCCATACAACTTCCTCTAGCCTGTGAATTGCAGAGGGTGACGTGTGGCTCCCATGGGACAGAGCTAAGCATGGAAACTGTCTTCATTAAATAGCAGTTCTGGAAAATCCTTGCAGCAGTGGTAGGCTAATTAGCAAAACAGCTGATAATTAAAATGAATTCTTTCTGAGGGGCAGCCCTGATTTAGCTTGCAATGTCACAGTAATGGTGCAGTGTTTGTACAGGCTGTGAGGAGCTTGATCTTGCAAAGTGATCCTCGGGGAGTACACACTGAAGCAGCTCACTTGGCTCTTTTATCCAACTCTTCCTCCTAGTTTTTGATGTGTACAGAGCCATTGCTAATAAGGACATCACAGACAGCATTAAATCCGAGATGTCAGGAGATCTTGAGGATGCTTTGTTAGCTGTGGGTGAGTTCCCTGCTTTTAAACTTTGTCTACAAACTAATTAAATAATTAGAGATACTGCCTCTTGCCCTGACTGTTTGCACAGCTTCAGGAGGCAGATTCTTCTTCACTGTTTTACAAGCCACAGTGTTTTAATCTTTGCAGATGCAAAGACCTGGCAAGAAGGCTCTGTGCTTTATATTTCTGTGCCAAGGGTGCTTTGGCAGATGACATAGGCTGTGTGGAAGCTTTAAAGCCTTAAAAATATTTTATTGCTGTGCACTGGGCATGGAGACATCAATTGACAGCAGGTCACTGACTCGGGATGTCTGCACTGTGCTTGTTGAGTTGCATTTTTACAGAAGAAATGTCTGCACTGAGAAAGTGCTGGAAAGGTTGGGAAGACTTTATCCTTCAGTGTTTATTGGTTGTAATTCTCTTGTTCTTGTCTCTCTTACAGTAAAGTGCTTGAGGAATAAACCTGCTTATTTTGCTGAGAGATTGTACAAATCCATGAAGGTAAAGAGATTTTGCTATTTCCACCCCTCCCGCCCCCCCACCATAGTTAAGTCAATAGCATGACAGCAATTAGAGAAAGTGTGTTAATTGGGGGGAATAAAAGAAGTCTGAGGTTTTCTGTGGAGCTCTTTTCCTTCAGGAAGCTCAGAGCTGATGATGTCCCTGCATTAATGCAAAAATGGTCAAGTCAGGAGTGGATTCCAAGGAAGGGCAGAGCTCAGTGCTGTCCCTGGGGTGCCCTCAGCCCGGGCAGCTGCTGCTGTGTCCCCGCAGGGCCTGGGCACCGATGACAGCACGCTGATCCGGGTGATGGTGTCCCGTGCTGAGATTGACATGCTCCACATCAGGAGGGAGTTCCTGGCCATGTATGGAAAATCACTCCACTCCTTCATTAAGGTGAGCTTGGAGTCTTACACACACCTGTGTTTGCTAAGCAGCACCAAGGAGACTCTCCAAACAACTTTTTGGGTATTTTAGAGGAGGTGGAATTAAGGAGACTTTTATGTACTGAAAACCTTGCTGAATGTTCTTGGTTATTAAGTTGTCAAAGAGGATACAAACACTACACTAAGTCATTTATGCTGAAAGGAATCCTGCTTTCCATGGAGCTGCAAAACTAATGGTGTTCCTTTTTTCTGCTCTCTCTAGGGAGACTGCTCAGGGGACTACAGGAAGGTTCTGCTCAGGCTGTGTGGTGGGGAGGATTAGAGGACGCCTGGGAAGCCTGCTGGGTGATGGGAAGCAGCTGATCATAGACTTGTTTAGGTTGGAAAATATCCTTAAGATCATCGAGTCCAATTATGATAAAGATTTCTTTCTTCTTTTTTTTTTTTTTTTTCTAAATGCCTTTTTTTTTCTTTTTTTTTTTTTTTTTTTTTTTTTTTCCAAATGCCTTATTAATTACTCTGATTATAGACTTAGGTTAGTTCATATTCTGGTTAGATAGTGGCCATTCTTGTTAACCCTTTTGATACACTTTTATGCTTGGAACACCCATTTGCCTACTAACTGGGCTGGTGAAGCCCAGCTTACACAGAATGCTGGAACCAAAGGTATAAAAGTTGTTTCCTGACCAGCTGCCCTTCTGCTGTTGTGTTCACCAGCAAAATGCATCAACTAAAGCAAACCTGAGAGTGCGAGTCTGCACAGGGAAAAGCCAACCTCATTGGTACATGGAGACTGCAGAACAGGGGTTTGCCTCCGTTTTTCAGTAAAATTAAAACACAAAGAAACCAAATATCTAAAATGCAAGCACGTTTACATATTATCTTGCCTCTGTTAGTGTGGAGCATTAACAGCCTGGCTTTGCTGTGTGTATATGTTGCCTGTAGGTCTGTAAGTGGGGGGGTTGTCACTGGTGACATGAGAAAAACCTTTTTCTGCCCTGCTTAGAGCAGCCCTGTGTTTTTGGTCTGTCTGTTGGAATGTAAATAATTCGGGTTGTAGTATAAACCCTGCTCTGGATATAGTGATGTCATTGGAATGGTGCCTTTTAAGGAATGACCCGTCCCCAAAACCCCACCTCACCAGCCTGGTGCTGGGGCAGCTCCCCAGATTTTCCTGGGACATGTTCCCAAACGTCCCCGAGGTGATTCCCCAGACCTGCCAGGACAGCTGGTCAGTCCCAGTGCTTGTGCCTGGGCCTCACGTGGATGTCCCCTTCAGCCTCTGGGAGAGACTTCTCCCCCAGACCCTACACACCTGCCTGTTCGCTGTTTGCACTCCAAAAATGGAACTCTGCTTTGGCTTAGCACTTTGTTTCTTACCGCTGCTGAATAATCCTGAAGCATCAGCCTGAGCCTGCATTGTCAAAGCTCCAACGCTGAGGTGGCTACACCCCAGTTCCATCACTCACTTTCCTCTAAACAGGCTGCTGCTGGCTGGAGTAGGAGATACCTCTGTGGCCTCCAATAAAATAATTTTCTTTCTCGTTCCCGGGCTGCCACTGGAGACACATTCCTGACTTTTGCCGCAGAGGAGGCAGAGCTTTATCCAGTTCTTCTGAGGGGACATGCCCAGCCAGCAGAGCAGAGGTGCTGGCTGGGGGTGGCCGTAGTGCCTCGGGTCAGGTTGGGTTTCAGAGTGCTGAAAAAGGAATAAAGGATTTGTTTCTTAGTTCCCGTGGCGATGCTGTGTTCTGGGAGGGACGGGGAAGAGCTTGTTCTGTCCCAAGCTCCTGTGCTCCACATGGACGGGGAGCGGCTGCAGCGCTGCTGCTTCTGCTCATTCATCCACGTTTTTGTCTTCTCGGTGTCCTTTTCCCCGGTAAGGACTTTCCAGCGTACAAACTCAGTCTTTGTCCCTTCTGTGTCTTCTGGTCTCTGGAAAATGTCTTTGTTGTCCATACATTCTTCAGTCCAGATGTCCAACCTCGACCATACATTTCTCTCCCAGGCTTTTTTCATTGAACTACATCAGAGTTGATTTATGTTTCAGTAAGTTTCAGTCATTTTCAGTCATTTTCCCAAGCTGTCTTTCTACAAAAGCAGCCTATTGGAATTTTGCTAAATGCTGGCTGAGAGTAATCTAAGAATAAAGCACTAGAGATATATATACACATATACACATATATAGTGCTTTATTCTTAAATAAATATATATATTCTTAAATATATATGTACACATATATAGTGCTTTATTCTTAAATATAGATATTATATATAATATATAAACATTATATATAATAAATATTTAGATATAGAATATAGAAATATATATGTAAGAAATACAGACATAGATTTCTTAATATATTTAATATTTCTTAAATATATATTTTTCTATATATGTATGTATATATATACACACATATAGGTAATGTATATATATAACCTATATATGTGTGTACATATATA